GAATCGGTGCCTGCGGCGCGGGCGCAACGCCTCTCGCCCCCGGGGCAGCACAAGCAGGCGCTCGCCGGGGGCTCCAGTGCCCCCGGCGTGCGGGGAGCTTCCTCACCACCTCCTGTGACCCTCCGGGGTCAGCCCCTGTCCTCTGCAGCGCCGGTCGCAGTGTCCCTGCGTAGCTTGGTTTCATTTCACTTCTGGTGGTTCCAGGTTGTGCAATTGGCTAAACAAGGGTCCGAGTTCACGAAACAGCCTGACTTACTCCCTAGACTTGGCAAAGGAGGTTTGTGATGAAAGGAGTCTATCTGCAAACTTTTTTTTCCTTCTTACAACCTAATTTTCTACTGGGCCGCATCCTGTTAACTTCTGCTCATTAAGTGGCATCTTTTGTGCATTAAGTGGCATCACGTATCAGTAATGCTTATAAGGGGCAACGTTGCCTAATGGATAAGAATCCTGGACTCTGTAACTGTCTGAATTCAAATCCCAGCATAGCTGTGTGACCTCAGGCAAGTTACTTAACCTCTCGGACGGAGCCTTAGTTTTATTGTCTGTAAAGTGAGGATAAGAAAAGTACCTACATCACAGGCTGGCTGCGTGCATTCAGTAAATGAATGCAGTGGAGCTCTGACACATACCAGATGAAAGGTGGTATTACTATTTTCATTATATGGATGCTAAACTGTCTACGCAGACCTCAGAATATAACAAGATCAGGAACGAACTGTGTATTTTGCTTGTTGTTAAGAGTATACATAATGAAATAGAAGATGTCCGTCAAAATGTAAAAACAGAAAACGTTCTCTATGTCAGTATCTAAATGTAAAAACATTTCTACACCACCTGGAGCCTTTTATCTCAAATAAGTATGAAATATTTACATACAAGCTTCAAGCAGAATTTTAAGAAAATAATCTCTAGCCTTCAAAATGCTTCACTTTGTAAAAGAGACACACATTAAAAATAGGTATTAGGTCATCGTACATACAGAAAATCCCATGTCTGCATGAAAATATTGCACTGAGTCAAGTTTAAGAGACCGGGAACTTACCTTGTAAGCTAGAAATGCTAACTTCTCTAAGACCATTGTAAGCATTTTGGCCACAATACCCTTGCTATCAAGCACATAGAATGATAAAAGTCTTTACTTACTTACCTCCTTCACTTTACAGGTGAAGAAGGATTCAGAGAGGTTAAGGACTTGGGTCAGATATCTCGAGGTAAACAGAGGCCAAAATGGGATTAGAATTAGTCCTGACTCGCCGCCCGGGGCTCTTGCACACCACACAGGATTTCCTGCTCACTACAGATTTATGAACGCTTAACAGATAGGAAACCAGAAGGTATTATATAAAGAAAAATATACAAGCATCCGTTCTCTCCAGCACCAGGAAGACCAGGTGGTAATGTGGCCACTGCTGGCCCACAACTTTATCCTAATGTCCCTCACATCCGAAAATGACCACCTGGCTTGCTTGAGGGAAGGGAAGGTCACAGGTGGGGCCAGAGGCAGAGCCAGAGTTAGAATTTAAGGTCCCACCTTTGGCTGTGTATTCTCTTAACCCCTTTTGACAGTTTTAAACTAGAAATCACTTTTGAGCTGCTCTTAAATTTTCAAAAATCTTCCTGCTGGCTTTGAAGGTCTCACACAGCTTTTTAGGAAATTCTTTCAAGAGTACATTCAAGGAGATTTTATTGTTCCAGATTTTGTAAACAAGCAAGAGTGAAAAAGGAAAAAAAAAAGAAAAGCTTTCTTTTTTAATGCAATTGCTAGGTGACTGGTTTCAATGCAGACCCTTGAAGATGAATTCCTAAAGTCGTCCTGTTGTTTCATATCTGCACGTGGCCATCTAATAATGTTCACCTTCCACAGACAGATGCAGCTGGGGGTTAAGAGGTCCAGCCCTCACATAAGCAGCTTAGGAGTTACAGGACGGAGCCTTTCAAGCCTGCGGCTGGCCTTGCAAAGTTGTTTACAGGAGTGATGTGTCTTCCAGGGAAGGCGCCTCCAGGAACTGTGCCGGCCTCTCTGAAGGAGGAAACCATGGTTCTCTCCATGGATATCTCCCTCTTGGTTTTGCACCTCTCCCAATCCCTAACCCATGTTCTCAGTCAGAAATCCAGGGCACTGAGCAGCGAGTGACTTTGTAGCACACTCCCAAGCCAGTTGAGCAGAACTGAGTTTTGAAATCGCATGTGTCCATCAGGTCTCATTATGATAACAATGCGAATCACTCTGCAGCTGGGAATATTGCCGCTTGGTTTTCTGTGCACCACCGGGTGACTCACACTCGGAGCCTCCGTCCACATACACGTAGTGTCAGTCAGCAGCTAATAGGGTCCACGCTGAGTCGGCCTGGCATTTACAGTGAGGCACTCACGACCTGGCACCATCTCAGTTGGCCCCTGAATGTTACCTTAAGCAACCAGTTCAAGAGTCTAGACAACACTGCACCGAGTGAGCGAGTTCACCGTACAAGTGAATGGGCTTCCGTAGCAGCCATTCACGGTGGAGTCTGTGACTGGGTGCTTAAGGTGATATTCCTGGGTCATGAACTCACAGAATCCGGCTGATTAGATTCTAGCCATTTGCATGGGGAGTTGTTTGTGAAATA